GGGAGTGGCACAAGCCTTCCTCCGTACTACAGCCTATGTGTAGGGTGTGTGTTCTCCTTTGGACGTCAGGTCCGTTTTGTTGCTTAATTATGTGTGTTTCGTTTGGTCTCTGTTGTTAGTAGCATCATCTTGGGTACGTCTGTTTTGTGTTTGCGATGTTAGCTGCGGCTTGTTCAGGTGGTCAGGGGTGGTTATCGTGTCTTTTGTCGTTTTGGTTTCGTGGTGTTATTGTGGGTATAGTCTATCGTGGGTATGTTATGGGTAGCTTGTGTATGGGGATATGGTATCGCGACTGCAGGGGGGGGGGGAGAGTGGGGGGGATGGAGGGAAGTCACTGAGCGGCCGGACGCCCCGGCCCCTGTCTTACACTCCCACTATGTGTCTCATAACCCAAGGGTCCCAGATTTTGTGGAAGTGTTTTGTCGTGTCGTGTAGAATGGCTGAGAGTTTGTCCATTTCCATGGTTTCATTAGTTTTTTGCATCATCTTTGTCAGTGTGGGTGTGTTATGGTTACCCCATTGCTCTGCTATGGTGCGTCTAGTAGCGAGGGCTATTTTCGCTACCAGTTTGTTTTGTGCCCTTGGTAATCTGGGTAGGGGTTTTGAGAGTAGCCACGTCCAAGGGTCCATGGGTATGTCTTCGTGCAATATTCTGGAGGTGAGGTTGGCAACCTCAGTCCAGAGTTGCGAGCTGTGTGGACAGTGCCACCATATGTGTATGTATGTACCTTGTTGTCCGCATTTTTTCCAACATGTGTCTGTTTGGGCTATGCCCATCTGTTTGAGTTTCAGAGGCGTTAGGTACCATCTGAGCATGGTTTTGTACGCCTGTTCTTTGTGGTTCACGCATATGGTTAGTGAGGCGTTTGCTTCCCATATGCTTGCCCAGGTTGTTGGGTCCTCTGGTGGGCCTATGTCTCTTTCCCATGCCTTTGTGTATGTGAGTGTGTCCGCTGGGGAGTTGGAGTTTAGTAGAGAGTATATCAGGGAGATTTGTCCTTTGTGTGTGGGGGCTTGTAGGCAGTTCGTCTCGAATCGAGTGAGTTTTGTGGTTGCTGTTTTCCTATTCTGAGGTTCTGTTAGGAAGCTGCGTAATTGTAGATATCTAAAGTGGTCGAAGGTGTTCAGTGGCGTGGTACATGGGAGTTCTGGGAATGGTATTAGTTGTTGGTTGTTATAGAAGTCTCTGAATCTGATTAGTCCGTTGTCTTCATAATGTGCGTAATCTCGTGGTGTCATGCCTGGGGGGAATCGTTTATTTCTGAGGATTGGGGTAAGTGGTGAGGGGGAGTTTATGAGGGGGTATCGTGCGATGGTTCTGTCCCAGACTTGTAATGATGTAGTTAGGGAGGGTGTTGTTGGGGGGAGTGCCGGTCTGTCTCTTTTTGGGAGCCAAAAGAGGAGGGAAGGGTGGTCTCTGCCGAGGAGGTCGTGCTCCAGATCCACCCAGAGTTTTGTTCCCGGGGGGGAGTGCAGATGTTGCACTTGGGCTAGTTGGGCTGCTTGATAATATTGTATGAGGTTGGGGAGGCCCAGGCCTCCGGTCTTAACTGTTTTGTACATTGTTATCGGTTTAATCCGTGGTCTTTTGTCGGCCCAAATGAATTTATCTATTTTTGATTGGAGGGCTTTAAAGTCCAGTCTAGAGATGGGGATGGGTAGGGTCCGGAACAAATATAAGAATTTGGGCAGGAGGTTCATTTTTATGGACGCGATCCTGCCTAGCCAGGAAATATGCATGGGTTGCCACCTTTGTAGGTCTATTTGGGCTGGTTCGATCAGAGGGGTGTAGTTGAGTGAGTACGTTTCGGAGAGGTTCGCTGGGATGTGTGTGCCTAGGTAGTGGATACTTTGTTGGTTGTATCGGAATGGGTGAGAGTATTTTATTTGGGTTAGGAGTTGTTGCGGGAAGTTGAGGGGGAGGGCTTCTGTTTTCTCTAGGTTAGGTTTGTAGCCGGATACGCCGGCATATTTTTGGAGGAGTGTGAGCAGGGGGGGCAGGGAGTCAGTGGGGTCCGTGAGAGTCAGGAGGATATCATCTGCATACGCTGCGATCTTATATTCTTCCTGTCGGACTTTGAGGCCTAGGATTTCGGGGGATGTGCGAATGAGTTGGAGAAGGGGTTCTAGGGAGAGGGCAAACAGGAGTGGGGAAAGCGGGCAGCCTTGTCTGGTTCCATTTCTTATTGTGAATTCGTGCGGACCAGTGTTGGGGAGAAGGAGGGTTGCCGTGGGGTTGGAGGACAGTGTTGTGAGGGCCGTGATAATGGCGTTGGGGAAGTGGAATTTTCGTAGGGCGGCAAATAGGAAGGGCCAGAGTAAGCGGTCAAACGCTTTTTTCGCGTCCATCGAGAGTAGGAGGGTGGGGATGTGCCTATGTTGGGCTCTCCATATTAGGTCTATCGTGCGTCTGGTGTTGTCGCATGCTTGACGGTTGGGGATAAATCCTACTTGGTCTGGGTGTACGAGTTTTGGGAGGAGACGTTGTATTCTGTTGGCCAGTGTTTTCGTGAGGATTTTGATGTCTGTGTTGAGGAGGGATATTGGGCGGTAATGTCCAGGGTCTAGGTGCGTTTTGTGTGGTTTGGGGATTAGGCATATGTTGGCCTTGAGCATTTCTTGTGGTACCTGGTCGCCTTCCATTATAGAATTGCAGAGTGCGGTTAGATGGGGTATCAATGTGGCGCTGAACGTTTTATAATAGAGGCCCGTAAAGCCGTCAGCTCCTGGACATTTGTTGGGTTTGATGTGCTTTATTGTGAGGGCTATTTCCTCTTCAGTGATTGGGGACGCGAGGGTGTCTCGTTCTTGGTTTGTTAGTGCTGGGAGGGGGATTTCCGACAGGAAATTGTGAATTTCTTGTCCTAACGTCGGGTGAGTGAGGGTGTGGTTGGGTTTATGGTTATATAGTTTGGAGAAGTAGTCAACGAATATGGAGGCTATGCGGTCAGGGTCATTATGGGTTCGGCCTCCAGGTGATGTGATTTTGTCTATGTGTTTTTGGAGAGTTTTATGTCGGAGTCTGCGCGCAAGGAGGGTGTCTGCCTTGTTGGACTTCTCATAGTACAGTTGTTTGGTCCATTGTAGTGCTTTTTGTGAGTCTTTAGCCATATAGGTCTTTATCGCGTGTTGGTGTGATTTAATTTGGTCGAGCAATGGTTGAGATGGGGTGCGTTTGTGTTTGGCTTCTATTGTCCTTAGGGAGGTCAGGTGTTGTTCCAGTTCCCGGAGTGTTTGTTTTCTGTGGGCGCTGGGTGCGCTAATTATCATTCCTCTGATTGTTGCTTTATGGGCTGCCCACAGTATGTTCGTGGATGGGACTGATCCCGTATTGACCTCGAAATAGTTTGTGAGCTCCTGTTGGATTTTTTGTCTGATTTGGGGGTTATGTAGGAGTGTGGGGTTTAGTCGCCAAGTCCATGCTTTGGCTGTGTGAGGCTTATCTATGTTGAGGGAAACTTCGGCGTGATCAGACCAGGTGATTGAACCTATCGAGGTGGATTGTGTATGAGGTACTAGAGAGGGGGATATTAGGAATAGGTCTATCCTGGAGTAAGAAGAGTGTGGGTGCGAGTAGAAGGTAAAGTCTGGGGTTGTGTGGTGTTGGAGTCTCCATATGTCTTGGAGGCCTGTTTGGGTGGCAAACTCCAGAAGGAGTTTGTCATTTTTCCTGGTTGGGGGGCTTGCATGGTTTGTTTCCTTCTGTGCTTTTCCTGTCTATAGATGGGGTTAGGAGTGCGTTGAAGTCTCCGCCTAGGATGGTGTGGTGTGAGGGGAACAGTTTTAGTTGTGTGCGTAGTGCTGTCCAGAAAGTTGGTTCGGGTGTGTTTGGGGCGTAGATTGTGGTAATTGCGTACTTGTGGTTGGCAAATTGTCCTGTGACCGTCAAGGATCTCCCTTGGGGATCTGGGAGGCTTTTTAGGATTGTGATCGGGCAGTGTTTATGAACCATGATAGCTACCCCATTTTGTTTGCCCTGTGGCGAGTTTGCTAGGTAGCATTGTTTGTAGTTTTTGTTGATGAGGGGGAAGGGTTTTTTCGTCTCAAAATGGGTTTCCTGGAGGAGGATTATGTCTGCCTTCATTCTATTGGCCCAGCGAAGTGTGCGATGTCGCTTGGCTGGATTGTTAAGTCCCTTGCAGTTAATGGATATGTAGGAGATTGTGTCTGGCCTGGTTGTGTGTGGACGTGGTGGTGGTTCGTTAGTAGGCATTCTTTAGTGTGGTGTGGGCTTCGGGTCCAGGGGGTCTCGGGGCGTCCGTCTGCTCCTACTAGGGGGGCTCCGGTGGAGAGTGGGTGGTGGGATAGGGGGATGGGTGAGGTTTATAGAATTCGGGGGGTTTGGGTTGCAAAGTGTCTATCCTGGTCTTATGT